ATTGCGACTGAAATGAATGTAATTGATTATGTCATTTTCATGACACAGGATTTATTCCACTGTAATTGCATTATGATGCTAGGACTTTCTGAATGATGACCAACTAAATGTTGACAGGCAGGAATAAAGGTCTGCATTTGCTCTTGTCTAGGGAGTGAGTCACAAACAATACAAATAAATAAAAGCTATGGCTCCGTCCTTCTGGCATGGTCCCCTGGAATGTTTTGCCTGCCTGACTCAGCACTGTCGGCTGTGGGAAAGGCACCCACCTCCTCTGGGCCTCCAGGTTGCCCTGTTCCAGCAGGCGCCAAGCTCGAGGATTTGGGGTCACATGGCCTATTGTTAATTAAGCCTCTGGGCTAAGTTTCTCCTCTGCCCTGTATCTCTTGCCCCCCAGCCCCTGCCTGCCTTCCGCCCAGACACACGCAAGGGACAAAATGCTGTGGCAAAGCTTCTGATGTCCCTGTTCAGCGAGACTTCAGGCTGCCCAGTGTTTCCGTCTAATTTTACATCTGGAATTTTTTGTGAGAACCGATTAACCGGGTTGATACCAGTTCAACATCTGTTACGTCAGCAGTAATCAGATCTCCTGACTTCCCAGAAAATGTGGGACAATGTGCTGTAACAGAAATTTGAGGAGTGTCATTTTTCTGTGCTCATTTTGTCTTGGGCAGGCTGTTTTTGATAGTCTGTTTAAATCAGCTAAATTGATTTAGCGCTAATTGTCCTGGTGTAAGCTCTGCTGTCCTCAGGATATGGACTACACTATATTTAATGGGTTATCTTGCTGATAAAATCCTGGGACCTGTCTAGCTAGGTATAGAGAGAAAAATAATCCACTTACAGCACACGGAAGGATTAGAGGTTGATTTTCTTTATCACAGCGAAACGTCTACTTGCTTACATTAGTCTACCTCTGTTGGTAGGTCTTGTGCCTGATGGTGATGATGATGAAGACAATTTTCAAACATACACAAAAATAGAAAAATAGTATAATGAGACCCATACAGGCATCTTTTGTCAAGATTTTGCCGCGCTTGATTCATCTGTCACCCCTCAGTTTTCGCTGAAGTATTCAGTGCAGATTTAAGATGTCATGCCTTTTCATACATTTTTTTAAAAAAGGACTTTAAAAAATAACCACAATAAGCTCTCAGTGAAAAAAAAATATGACAATGACTATATACGTTCATGTATAACTGAAAAATTGTGCTCTACACTGGAATTTGACACAACATTGTAAAATGACTATAACTCAATAAAAAGTGTTAAAAAAAAAAAGAAAAAACCCTCACAATACTGTTCTCCCTTTAACAAGCTTAATAATTTCTTAGTATTGTCTAATACACAATCCATATATAAATTTCCCTAATAGTTTCAAAATGGTTTGATAATTGATTTGTTTGACTCAAGATTCAGTCCCAGTCCACAGATATGTTGTTTATTTATTTATTGGCACTGCTTTATTAGACATATGGAGTTTCAATTTTTCTT